AGATTAAACCTATGCCGACGGCTTTGCCGTAGGCATAGCCCTGCCACGTGTCGCCTCCTGGCCTGCCAGCAGTTTGACGGCGCCGTCCGTTGCCGTCAGACGGAAAACTACGCCGACGGCTAAACTATGCCGACGGCTGCGCCAGGGCCGTCGGCATAGACCCCTATGCCGACGGCATTATTATGCCGACGGTCTGACAGGAGTACGCTGACGTAATCTAGACTGACGGCTCTATGCCGACGGCTGCCGTCGGCATAGGTCTATGCCGACGGCCCGGGGCCGTAGGCATAGACCGCGAGTCCGGTAGTGCATTACGTGGCGAAGGTTCAACTCCTTTGCGATTGCCCTCTGCATGGTCCTTCTATTTTTCCATAGGGAACAGTCCACATGGACAATTCTGTTAAAATGCTTTGTCATGTCAGAATCATCACATATTGTGTATTTTAGTAGTTTTGCTACATCTCTAAGAACAGCAGATGCTCCCAGAGCCACGCGGCTCCAGCCACGAAAGAAGAATGCTTTAGTTTTGCCTTCTATACCATCGCTTTTGCGCAAAAAATCAGCCAATTGTTTGACGCCGTCATCAAAATCCTTTACTACCTGTAGTAATTACTTGCAATTATATATGACTGCCACAATACATATATTGGCACTACAATTTCAATAAATAGCTATCTTGCCTATGAATAAACTAGAGCAACAAATGATGCATCTAGTTTGAAAGTCCAAATAGATTAGAACTTCCTATGTGTACAAAATACCAGTTCCACCCATATATATCCACGCCTAGTTTACTGTACAAAATTTAAATTAGTGCTAATCTAATGCAACACGTGATGCATCCAGTGTGACAAAGCTTAAATGAAGTGGAACTATATAGAAGCATACACAATGCCTGTTCATACCATCGGTTGCTTCAGTCCAAAATAATGTCGGATGATTAACAAAAGCAATGTGGAAACACACAAATATAAATCAAGCGCTGTACTACTTCATGAGGTTATTAGTTAGGAGAAGAGGCACCAACCAGGTTGAATTCGCTTTGGTATTTGGACACGAACATGTTGACAGGAAGCTAACAGCAGCAGCAGAAGTAGAAGACCTGGATAATCATATCTAACCCATGGGCTGCAGATTTCTCCACTCCCTACAATATCAGGATGCATAAATTCCTTATCACACTCTGTGAAAACCTATGACAAGACAAGATTATAGATTACATATGTATGGACAGGATGGAGCTGCAGTACCTGTCTATATGCGTCAAGTGCGAGCGAATCGAGCGGTGGAGGAGCAAAGAACACTTGCAGAGAATAGAGAGTTATCCCCAATAAATCCAGTCCGAGGCAAAGATATGTAATCGCTCGATCATTTTGGTTAAAGAAAAAAGATCGCGCTTCGTTGGTGGCACGAGCTGAGCTTTGGTAGAGCTCTGGAACAGAATGCCACAGCTAGCAGACGTGTATGTTTCAGAAGGTGGGTGGTGTAATGGAGGGACCTGCTTTTGGCATCTCGATGTTGCTTGCCTTCTGTGCCAAAGCATGCATCCATGGTTCCTTGCTTGCACTTGCAGGCAATGCCAATGCTCATCCACTTTGGTGAACTTTTCTTTTGCTGTTGTTGTTGTTGCTGTCTTGCTGATACACTTCATTATTTCCGTAAAGGAAAAGAAAGGAACATACTGCTGGCTCCATCTTTTCTTTACGGTCCAATCCTTCCATAAAGGTAACGATATCCAATTCCACGGCGCAGTTTCGTCAGACATAACATGATTAAGGCAGAGGGATTCATCGTGCAATGGCCAACAAGCACGAACCCATCCAGAGCAGAAGAATGCCATTGCCGTTGGGTGTTACACTGTTACTGGTGGATTGGAATAAAGCTGGAATTAACATACACAGCTTGCAAGTGCTGACTGCCACATTTCGTCTCTCATGCCAAATGAGGGAGGCAAGCCAACGGGGATGGAGGGAGCACGGCACGGACGGCCGCGGCCAGCAGGCTTGCCGTCGCGGCGTGCTCTCGGCAGCGACGGGCAGGGAAGGGCCGAGGGAGGCATCGGTGGGCAGCGTGTAGGCTCCCCCAGACCAGATCTGCTTTGAAGCGGGAGCCAGGGCCGGCGAGTGGAGGCGGCAACCGTGAGAGAAGAATGGGAAAAGCGTTCATTGCTGGCACCCCTCCCTCTGTCAACAATGTTTTCTACTCCCTCTGTTTCTAAATACTTGTCTTTTTAGAGATCTTAAATGGTCCATCACATACGGATGTATATAGACATATTTTAGAGTCTAGATTCACTCATTTTGCTTCGTATGTAGTCACTTGTTGAAATCTCTAGAAAGACAAATATTTAGGAACGGAGGGAGTATATAGACTACACATGGACTGGAAATAAGTAAACAAACACACTAAAACATGTCTATACGCATCCAATTCACAAAAGAATTGAAACATCTTATATTTATATTTGTGAAGGATGAAGTAGTAAATATACCATATCCCCGCTCTGCTGAAACTGTCCTCCATTTCCTCTCTGATGCCCCCACACACTGGAAAATCACACATATCCCGTGCGGTCAAATATAAGCCGAGTGTAAAAACACAAGCACTCAGTCGACTTACTTTCTCGTAAGCCGAGTACTGACTGAAGAATGCACGGTAAAGAATCAGAACTCAACTTAATTTCTCATAGGCCGATTGTGAGAGAAAAAAAAATACATGCTCAACTTATAAAAACAACTTGCCATATAGAAAAAAGCTAGCGCTCGGCTTACAGTCGAGCCTCGGCAACGTTCCCCTACCACATGACTATCACAAAGGTGGTTGACGGCCTTGTGAAGGAGTAGATTATAAGCCGAGTGTGTGCCAGAAGGTTCTCGGCTTACTTTAGTGAATTATTTTACTTCTAAAAGTATGCCAAATATGGGGAAATGCACAGGAGCAACTGGGTGCTACGCCCCCTATATAAATATTAAATTAAAATAACTGAAAAATTAAAAAAACCTGAAATTTGGGAATATCAAACATGTGTGCTCAATCTACTCCCGTGTGAAGTTTCGTGAAAATACATCAGGAAACGCATATCCATGGTGAAAAAAAATACAATCCAACGTATGATCCATCCAAACAGTTTCTTTTATACATAGGATTTTTTTAACTGAGAATACATTTCCTGGTATGTTTTCACAAAACTTCACATGAGAATAGGTTGGGCACACTGGTTTGATATCCCAAAGATTCAGATTTTTTGAATTTCCTAGTATGTTTTTTGAATTTAATACTCAGTAGCACATATGCCCGTGCGTTGCATCGAAAGAAAAAAATAGTATGCATTTAAAGTTAGTGAGGATTATAGTGCAAGCGAAACCCTGTGTGCACGTGAAAAAGGAACATTTAGCTTCCCGGTTTCACCGGGTGTGAAGCAATTAATCCGCTATTTTTTCATTCATTGATCGAGAGCATTTAAGAGTTTTGTTACGTCATCGTATGCCAGACAATGCCCATGAATTATTTAGTCTACTTTTCCTTTCAATCCAGGAGATTTTAAGGTTTGAAATTTCTAAATATTACAGGAAACATGAACCATTTTTTAAATCCTAAAAAGTTTTTTCTAAAATTATGTACACTTTCAGAAAAAAACACAAATATTTTTTGAAACATTTTTTTTTGAAAACACCAACATTTTCTTATAAAAAATGATCATTATTTGAATTTGTGAGCATTTGTTTAGAATAGGAACATGTGTTGAAAAATTCATAACATTATTTAGAATTGTGAAAAATTCACTAAAACAAGAATATTTTTAGAAACATTTTATAAAATGCCATTTTAATTCTAGAAACAATAAAACTATTTGAAAAAATGGGAAACCTTTTGAAGTTCTGAATATTTTTCAAATAGCAAAAAGAGGAATTCTGAACATTTTCTATAATTTGATTTTTTTAATATTCTGAAAGTTTTTTGAGAATTTTGAATTTATGAAATAAATTCTATAGGAAAAATAAACTTGGAAGGGAAACAATAATAGGGGGAAGAGAATAAAAATAGAAGTAAAACACGGAAACAAAGAAAAATGGGCCAGCTAATTATTTGTTGTCATGTGCGAAGCTCCGACTATTTGTCGCCTTGTGCAGAAAATATAATTTTCCCAGCCGCGTGAGCAGAAACATAAATCTGCTGGCTTCGCCGGGCCACAGCACGCGGCCCACGTATGAAATTCTGGAAATCCTTTTTTTTTTCTAGCAGACGAACGCATAAGAATTTAGTACCACCTCACATAGAAAACGTTTCTTTTCGACGGTGAACAGATGAAAAAATTGACGAAACACACCTTACTTTATTAATAAAAAAATAAAAAGGTATAGATATAGGGGGTGGAGCACCCAGGTGGTCCAAATCCTCTCCCGCCAAATCTAAGCCTAGTGCCTTTGAGATGATACTCGGCTTTTGTAAACCTATTTTTAATGCAAAAATGAGTTTCTAATATTTTGCATTGTATTTATATTTACTTATTGCATTTTATTTCTTTCCCCTCTTACTCACCCATTCTCTCTAGGCTAGTTTTCATAGCCCTTTGGATGCTCAAATTTCCCGATCTCTCTAATTAATTACCGTCAGTTTGTCACTTTAAAGTTGTGGTATTGCCTTTTACTCTTCATCCCCCTAGTTTACCCTCATTAGGATCACATGCAAAAGTATAAGTTGTTTCGACCATTATTAACGCGATTTGATGAATCCCTTGTTTGGTAAACTCAAAAACGTTCACCCCTAGCTTTTCCTCGAAAGGGGTATTCCATATGTACTATCCTCTTTCTGTGTTAAATTTTTCTACAGAAGCATACCTTTCTGAAGGCCTAGTCAAAAAGTTGTGCGAAACCTCAATTGGTAAGAGGACGTGACCTCGGGCTCGGAAGTTGAGGTCACCTTCTCGGTTCATGAGATCATGGCGGTCATCACCTCATGGACCAAACCCATCCTCGCCTACCTGCTACGCAAGGAATTTTCCAAGGACCATGCGAAGTCACGCCAGAATATCCGACGTGTTGCCGCTTACGCGGTGCATGAGGGAGAGTTGTACAAGCGCAGCGTCACTTGAATCTTCCAGCGTTGTATTTCTCCCGAGGAGGGATGACAAATCTTACACGATATCCATGCCAGAAGTTGCGGTCACCATCGGGCTCCTCGAACCCTGGTGAGCAAGGTTTACCGTATGGACTTTTATTGGCCCACGATTTGGGGAGACGATGTTGATTTGGTCAACAAGTGCGTCAGTTGTCAGCTATTCGCTAAGGCCAACCACTTATCGGCGATGGCTCTCAAGACAATTCCGATAAGTTGGCCATTCGCACCTGGGGGCTAAACATGGCCAGAACACTTCATAAGGATGAATCTAGTAATAAGTACCTGCTCGTCATTGTTGACAAGTTTACAATATGGATCGAGGCTGAGCCGGTTGCCACGCATGTTGCCGAGCCAGTTATCAAATTCCTGTCCGGTCTAATTCACCATTACACATTGCCCCGCAGCATCATCACGGATAATGGGTCCAATGCCACCTCGGGCATGGTCCAGGACTGGTGCATTGAACACAATATTAAACTGGACTACACTTTCATGTACCACCCGCAGACTAATGGACTGTTCGAATGTGCCAAATCCTTGGTGGCATCAAGCCAAGGTTGGTCAGATGCTTAGAAAAGGCTGACAAAAAGCGGGTCGAGGAGCTCAACTTCGTCCTATAGTGATAGGATGCTTGCTCAACATACTATAGTGGACAACAACCAACAATCAGAACTGATGCAAACCACACAACAACTCATCACAATAGTATAAGATATGTTGTTTGATCAACAAAACATACATCAAACCGAGCTGAATTTAAGGTTCATCTGTCACACACTCACACGCCACACGCATTGGGTTGACGCGCACCGATGCGCACACACACTCTTATTACAAACAGTGTCATCAAACCAAGACAAACCAGCTGGGTTGTGAATGCCACACCCAATCCATGGAAAGCCAACACTACTCCAAGTAGTAGCACAAGACACCAACCCAATCCAGCATATACGAAGATGAAGACAGCTCGGTGAGAAGGAAACACACCATTTATTTGCCACGCAAGCAGCAGAGGCGGCGGCGGCACAAACACACTTATTTGAAAAACGCACATGCAACTGGAGAAACACCCAAGAGCCGTGAGATGAGGACTTTTAGCAGCAATAAACTGATGCTTCGCGTAAGCCACAACCTCCTTGCGCCATGGAGGAACACACATCGGAGTAGCGCAACAACAGATTAATTACCTAAGAAACGGAGAACAAAAAAGCAGATATATTACTACTCACTAGTGAACATTTGACGTAGAAAAAACATTATTTATCCACATGTGTATCGCATACAAGAAATCAATGTGCGACAAACCTTAGATAGGAGGCCCTCGGGAGGGTCTTCTTGTAGTAGGCCGAGTGGTGTGTTTTGAAGAGCGACGGGTGATGTCCGGCATCCAGGCCATCCCACTCGAGGTTGTCCCACAAGTCCTTCTCGTAGTCCACCAGCGGCTTAGGACCTTCACATGCTACAGCAGGAAGACGCCTGAGAGCCCAGCAGTCCCTGATGCCGACCATCTGCAACGCTGGTGTAGTCAGTCTGGCCTCACATATCTGCTCCAGCTTGTGAAGATGGTGTAGCTTGATGTCCTTCAGGTTCTTAAATGTGACACCAGATGCTATGCTCTCAGGATACTTGTCGTCCAATGGGAAAACATGTTGGAGGTTACTGCAGTATGCGATCTGGAGGGTCTCCAAGTTAGGCAAGGTGAAGGAAATGGGGAGGACGAACACCAGCCTGGGGCAATGGTATATGTATATGTGCTGTAGTTGTTGGAAACAACGAGTACTATCCCGAGAATTAATGCCTCTACCCCATATGCAATAGGCCAACAGAAGATCAGAAGCTGAAAATGTCCTTATACTTGCAAACCTGGCATCTCCATACCTATAACGAAACAGAGAGTGTAGCTTGGAACACCTCTCAACATGACACCATTTTAGTTTTGTCCACAACCAAAAATTCGTTGGAGGGATAGCAGTGATGGAGGAATTGTCATGCACATGCAACGATTCGACAGTTCCTGTGAAATCTTGGAAACCCCCTTCATGTTGCATTCTCTCTAAATTATAGCTTCCTTCACCAATCTCGACATGTACATTCAAAGTTTGAAGCGGTCGACAGTTCCACACCAAAGAAGGGCATGCTACATCTTTAGCAAGAGCAGTATCACTATATGGTAAAAATGGCCTTGTTGATACCAAACCCTGCCGGGTAGATCCAATCTCCTTGATACTTTTGGTGATGTTCGCTTGGCTACGGCTCATACAAGAGATAAGGAGGTACACCTTGGAGACAGAATTTTGTGATCGGCTATTGAGCCCCTCTAAGAATGACCAAATGAACCTTCCATCCGTAAAAACAATATGTGCTTGAAAGCCAAAGAATCCCTGTTCTCCACAGTAGACCACTGATCTTTTAGTCCCTTGAGTGTCCACATGTAGAACTTCCAGTCTAGGTGATCCTTGCCATATTAGGCTACGGAGCCCCACACAGCCCAGTAGGAATAGCTTCTTGAGTTTCGGGACATCCATTGCATGGAGGTCAATTATTTTAATGGCTGTACCAGAGAGGTCCAGTTCCTCCAGATTTGGCAGTCCACGAAGGAATATGTTATGCAATTGACCACAACCGTGTAGGGAGATCTTTGTCACCTTGACTATTTCAACAGGAGCTAAAGGAGATTTGAGGCGCAATTCCTTTTGTGGCAGGTGTATGGAATGTGTCCAATTCTCTGCTGGGCCATAACCATCGAAGCTAAAACTTTCAAGCAGTGGAGGAGCTCCTTCCAGTCCAACATGCTTCAAGCTGGAACAACCATCAATAACAAGCATCTTCAGACTTTTTGCAGACGACAATGTCGGCAATGATTCCATGTGAGTGTTGCCAGACAAGTCAAGGAGCTCCAGATTCATCATATCCACAGAATAACAATTGTCCACCATAACCACATCTGAAGATTCGGTCAACCGGAGCTTATGAAGCTTCCGTAGCTTCTTCCATGCATGACTTATAGCCTTCCATAAGACTCCCTTTGTATTCAGCTCTCTGAGATTGGTCATCAGTTCAATCATCTGAGGCAACAAAACAAAATCTGTGAAACGTAAATCAAACACCAACAGGTTTGGAAAACTTGGCCCTCCACTTTGCTCCTTCCCTGTGTTTGCACAATGGTCAAGCCAAAGGAATCTTAGGTTGTGGCAGCACTGAAAAGGAGGGGATGCAAAATCAAAGCAACAATTGCAGAGTTTTAACACACGGAGGTTGCTGCTGGCCAGTTGAAACAAATCATTATGTACATATACTGGATCATCCCCCTGGCAAGTTAGGAAATATGATGATGCACTTCCAGGAACATAAGAGATATCATCTGCTGTTAGTTTGTTAAAGGTCACTGAATACCAACCTTCATAAGATTTTTTTCGTCCATAAAAATCTGATGCCAAAGCCATACATCTTGTTTCATCTGAAAAATAGCCACTTGATTTTTCTGAATAATAGCCAAACTGCGGTATCACTCCATACAATGCATTACCGATCTCCCATGCTCTATCCTCAAGGATTCCATCACATATCCAGTAGTTGCAAGCATGAGTAGCCCAACCATAGTCAACACCAATAGAGTTTTTAGGCAGCTCTGCTGTCAAGAAGAATGAGTACAGGAAGCAATCCAAAACTATTTCTGGGTTGATGCCATCCATACAAGTGTCACCAATCACTCCGACAGCTTCTTCGTGCAGTATATTATGTATTTGTTTTATGCCTTCATTCTGATAGAGACTGATAAAAATATCATTACTAGCAGAAGGGGACATCAACTTGCTTTCTCTCGTGTTGACCAGAAATCTTCCACAATTGGTCCATAATAATATACCTTTACCGAAAATAGGAATGCCACATTCTATCAGATCAATATCTTCAACTCCTCCATAATCAATAATCATCAAAAATCTTTCATCTCTTATAGAATTATTAATCAAACTTCCGATCCCAGACACCTCTTTTCTATTGCTGTTGTGTACCCCTCTGAAATCATCATCTTCATCCTGCTTATCAAATATGGGCATTTCATGTTGGAGGTTCAACTTCTCTGCAATTGCCCTCTGCATGGTCCTTTTGTTTATACACTGTGAGCAGTCCACGTAGACAACTATGTCAAAATGCTTTAACTTGTTGAAATCAGCACATATCATGGAGTTTACGAGTTTGGCTGTAGCTCTGAGGACGCCAGATGCTCCCATACCCTCGCCCCAGCCATAACTGGTGAATACTTCAGGTTTGCCTTCAGCAGTACCGTTGTTGTGCAAAAGATCAACCAATTGTTTGACAGCGTCATCAAAGTCCTTTACAACCTGTAGTAGTTAAATGCTATTATATATGATTAACACAATGCATATATTGATAATTTCAATTAGAGCCTGTTTGGTAACCACTCGGGCACGGGAATCGGAGTTTCCACAAGGGTGTTTGTGGAGGGATTAGACATTGCAGAGTTTTACTCCCATCCCTTGTTTGGTATATGATGGAATTAGTGTGGGATAAAACTCTGCCCACAGATTAACAGGGTACCCCTTTGGAAGAAATGGGTGGGAATTGACTTCCTCAACTCCCATTTCCCTTCACACTTAAACTTCCATTCCCTCTAAACAAAAAGTGGACTTTTAATCTCATCACCCCTCAACTCTCATTCCCCATCTCTAATTCCCCTGAACCAAACATGCTGTTAGTACTCCCTCTTGTAGAAGTATAAATGTAGAGATAAGGAGAGATAGAGATAGACTTAGCTTAAACACGTAATATCTTGCCTTGTACTCCAAGACTTTTCTATGTTGTACTCTATATATACCCCTGCAAGGATCAGAACAATAGAAAATACAATATTCATCCATCCTATAATTTTTCCAGATGGTATCAGAGCGGTTTGTCCCACTACGCCGATCCTAGGACCTTCAATCACTTCCGCAACGCACCCACCCCGGGGAGATTAATCTCCTCTCCCCGGGGGTGCGACACCCGATCTAGTCAAACATTAGATTGGTTTTGTAAGTGCATCTAGTGCCCCTTAGTGATTTTGGTGTATTGAAGACTTATAGGTTAAGGGACTGATGCGTTTGTGAGTGTACACAGGTCTATAAGTCTCTGAGGAGTTTGATATTTACAGAGAAAGTCGACCCCTAAAAATGAAGTTTTTCGACTGAAGACTTTGGATTTCTGAAGACTTTCTGAAGACTTTGAAACTGAAGAAATTGGTGTGATCTTGAAGACTTGGTATTCATTCGAGGAACATGAAGCATGAAGATTTTTGTTTTCGTAGTTTCATTTTCTATTTCTTCAGTCATATGAAGCACCGTACTGTTAAAGGGGGTCGAGGAAATACTAAGGAAAAGTTTCCAAGTGATGCTCAACTCAAAATCCTACACCTACCAATCCCTTCGAGTGAAGCTATTGGAAATCTCATATAGTTCAGTCAATTTCTTCAGTGACAGAGACGAAGCTCTTCTGGTCTCTAAGGAATTTGTTCTGACCGAGGAGTTGGGAATTTGCCAGTGCGGATTGCCTACAAGTGAGGAATATGATAGCCCTGAGGAATTTGTTAGTCAAATTTCCGACCGTTGCTATGCTACACGCCAGTTGTCCCAAAATATCCTTCCACCTAACGGTCATATCATTGAAGGGGATTTATGTCTTATCATGTCGGGCTGCTCCCTAGGCTATAAATAGCCGCCCCCCTACAACCACTAGCTGGTTGGCTGCTCCAAGAGAAACTGACACTTGTCATTTGAGAGCATCCCATCATTCGAGGACTTTGAGCGAAAATCATCAAGTGAGGAAAAAACCCAAACCCAAACACCTTCAAACCCAAAGTGATTAAGCATTACTTAAGAGATTGATCCTGCGTGGATCCGACGCTTGTTACATTTGAAGACTGTGCATCTTCCAGACGGTTAGACGTCATGGTCTAGAGCATCAAAGAGGAAATTGTGGATTGCCGAGTGACCGAGTCTATGAAGGTTTGGAAGTCACCTGAAGACTTACCACGAGTGATTAGGCGAGGTCTGTGTGACCTTAGCTCAAGGGGGAATACGGTGAGGACTGAGTGTTCTGGACTGCATGTTCAGGGCTAGGTGTCCGGGACTGTGTGTCCTCAGGTTTGAATACCTAGCCGCCCTAACCAGACGTACAACTGTCACAGCAGTTGGAACTGTTCTACCAAATCATTGTCTTCACCGAGCTAACTGGTTCCATTTCCTCAACCCTTTCATTTCCTCATTTCTGTGTTGTGTTCTTGTTCATATCTATTTGAAGACTTTGACTGAAGACTTTCTCTATTTCCTTAGTTCAATTTCTTTAGTCTGTTTGTCTTCATTCTGTTTATCATGTGTTTACACTTTCTGTACTCTGTGCTTGTTTTCATTTCATCATGATGACCATGCTTATGTTATGTTATGTTTCCATTTGAGTACTTATTTCGCTGCAAGTAGTTCTTCACTCAGGAATTTCTTCACCCTGAAATTCCTCAGTGAAGAATTCATAAAAATTGCCTATTCACCCCCCTCTAGTCGACTTAACGCACTTTCAATTGATATCAGAGCAAGGTACTCCATTGTTGTGTGTGATTTTGATTTAACCGTCTAGAGTTTTAGTTATGTCGACCGCATGTATGATCAAGGTTTCTGCTGTGTGTCCTAACTTCGATGGGACAGACTACCCCTACTGGAAGAATAAGATGCACATGCATCTTGAGGAAATTGACAATGATCTCTGGTACGTTGTGGAGAATGGCGTTCCCTCTGTCACTCCCACCATCAACGCTGCTGATGTGAAGAGATTCAAGCAACTCGACTCTCAAGCAAAGAACATCATATGTGGCCATCTGAGCAAAGGGTAGTATGGCAGAGTGAGTGCTTTGGAAACAGCAAATCTTACCCGGGACAGGCTGTCCAAGGTAAATGAAGGAGTCTCAACACAGCGTGACTCTCGAGTCGACGTTCTTCGCAATATTTTCAACCGCTTCAAAAGACTCGACAATGAAAATGTTCAGCAAACCTTCGATCGCCTCACTGACATCTCAAATGAGCTACAAGCACTTTGTGTCACTGACATCACCGACCATGAGGTGGTGAAGAAATTGCTAAGATCGCTTGATTCCTCATTTGATACTTTGGCATTGATGATACAAGAACATGGAGACTATAAGTCACTTGATCCTGCTGATATCCTCGAGAGGCTAAACACTCGTGAGTTCCAGCTTGCTGAGAAGAGAGATCTCTATGGACCAAGCTATGGCAGACCATGAGCTCTGAAGGCCAAGGCAGTTTCTGAATCAGAAGGTGAAGATTCTGGTAGCAGCCTTGGTGACTCTGAAGAACTGAGCCAGGAGCTAGCAATGCTCGTGAGGAAATTCCAGAAGTTCTTAAGACATGGTCGTTTTGGAAAATCCTCAAGAAGTGGTGACTTAAGATCAGATTCCTCATCTCATGATTACAAAAAGAGACTCTGTCACAAATGCAAGAAACCCGGTCACTACATTCAAGATTGTCCTTAGTGGGAAAAGGAATCAAAGAAGAAGAAGTGCAAGCATTACAGTTCTGAGGATTCAAAGAAGAAGAAGAAGAAATCTTCAAAGTCCTCTTCATCAAAACCTTCAAGATCTTCATCTCACAAGAAGAGCATCCCCAAGAAGGCTCGGGCATTCATTGGCAAGGAAATGGACTCCGAGGCTGAATCTGAGGAAAATGAGGAAGAGAAGGAATCTGAGGAGTCAGACTCTGGTGTGGCGAGCCTAGCCCTCACTGCCGCATTTGTCAGCAAGTCCATCTTCAACTCTGAGGAAAAGGACCTCTCCAACACCACTGACAACGGCGATGATGACTACTCTCCCACCTATTGCTTCATGACAAAATGTGCAAAGGTACTCAAATATCCCTCCTCTGAATCAAGTGAGGATGAATCTGATGAAAACCTTAAACCCAGCTATTATAAACTTGCAAAGATTGCTGTGAAACTGCAAAAGGCTCTGGAAAAGGTTCAAAACATGCTAGATAAAAGCGATGATATGTTGGGCGAGGAAATGGATCACACTAAAATTTTGACTGAAAATCTTCAGAGACTTCAGTCCAAGTTTGACAATCTTCAAGGTCATCATAACACTCTCCTATCTGATCATGAGAAGCTTTCTTATGAATTTCTTCAAAGGAAGCAAGATCTTGAGCAGTTAAGAGTGAGTTATGAAGATCTTCAGAAGGAGCATGATTCATTACTTGCTCAACAAATCAGTGCTACTCAGGAAGAATTTATTCCTCCATGTTTGAAGTGCATTGAACGTGAATCTTCTAATTCTTCACCTGAATGCTCAAATACTTCCATTGCTGCAAATTCTTCAACTGCCTCTGCTATCACTAATTCCTCATCTGAGGACATTGCTAGTATCACTGATGATGCAGGGCTGAAGAAATTGTATATGTCAGGCATGTACAAAAGCCTCAAAGGGCATCCGGCTCTTTGTGATGTGCTTAAAAAGTAGATCCTCAACAGGAACCCTATGAAAGAGGGTATTGCCTTTGAGAGGAAACTTAATATTGATGGGACCTACTCGAAACCTGAGCAGTATCCCAAAACCTCATGGGTTGCTGCAAAGGGACCTTCAGTGGATCCATCTACTCTATCTGGCTTTACATGTGAATCTTCATATTCTTCTGATGAGTCAATTGACTCCAACTATAAACTGTTCAAAAATCAGAATGGTGAAGTATTTGCTAGATATGTTGGCACTAACTGCAGGAACGGTTCTCCTATGAAGAAAATCTAGGTTCCAAAAAGGTTCCTTGAAAGTCTTCAGGTGAATGTCATCATGACACCACCTGTGAAGAATAGGAACCCCATATCAAATTCTTCATATGGACCAAATTCTTCATATGGATCCAAGTCCTCTTACGGACCAAATTCCTCACGTGGATCAAATTCCTCAAAAGGATCAAAGTCCTCATATAAACATCATCGTACTAACCCATCTGTTTTGCAGGGAAGATCTAAGGATTATGAATATGTGCATTATTCTTCAAATCATTATGTTCATAAATTCTCAAAGAATTTCTCTGCTTACTCTTATGCTTACCCTAATCCCTCTTATGTGAAACGAAGTGGATTTTCATCTATGCCACCTTTCTCTTATGGAGCTCGCAGAATGATGAACTCTTTGCCACCCCTTCAGATGTGGGTGGTGAAAAAAAAGAACTAATCTCTTATGCAGGGTCAGGTCTTCAGACGAACTTAATCGTCTGAAGAATTTGCTGGAGACCTGAATATGCTTGAAAGGACGCAAACTAATCATGAAAAAACGAATTTTCATTTC